GTATCTCTGTGTGTCTGTCTGTGTGTGTGTGTGTGTGTGTGTGTGTGTGTGTGTGTGTGTGTGTGTGTGTGTGTGTGTGTGTGTGTGTGTGTGTGTGTGTGTGTGTGTGTGTGTGTGTGTCAGTGCTCTGCAGTCCATCTCTCAGACGGTCTCAGCTCTGTATCCTCACTGGGCCTCTCTGCAAACACTCGGTGAGAGTTTTATTATGTATCTATTCATTTAGTGGAACATTATTCAGTACACAGAATTAGTAGAGAGTTAGGGATCCGGTACGTTTATAACACAATGTTTTCTCTTTACATCCAGGATGTCAAATGATGTTTAACAAACGTCCTGTTCTCTTAATTTTTCTGTTGCAGAAGGCAGCCGATTGGCTGAGGGGCGTGTCATCAGAGCAACAGCCAATGAGAAAAGCACAAAGCACACTGAGCCGCCTCCCTCGGTTGCCAAGACAACAGGACTGGTTTATGATGAGAAGATGATGGAGCACCTGAACCTGTGGGACAGGTGAGTGACCTCCACCTGCAGATGCACTCTATATGTATATTATATATATAAAGTAACAGCAGGACACATTTTAATTTTCTAAATGACAACTTTTTTTGCTTTTTTATTTTCGGGAGACATGTTGCTACATTACCTTTTTATTGTGTGTGTATTTAAGCGGTAGGAGATCTGAGAGCTTGTGTAGGATCATGCAACACAGTTCTAATGATATTTATATACTGTCTATGTAAGATTGTAATCATATGAATAAACCTTGTCTCCGCAGACATCACCCTGAACAGCCTCAGAGGATCTTTAAAATCTTCTCCAAACATCAGCAGCTGGGATTGGTCGGTCGCTGCAAACGGATACCAGTTCGCCTAGCAACAGAGGAGGAGCTGTCCACCTGTCACAGGTATGTACACATTTAGAGAGATCATACGAAAATATATCTGTTGTAGGCCTGAAACTGTCAGAAAATAAGTGTGTGTGTGTGTCCGGTGCAGTGTGCAGCACATCAAGCAGATGAAGGCCACAGCAGAGATGAAGCCCAGAGATCTGAACAAACTGAGTCTGGAGTTTAACTCCATCTTCATCAACAACCAGAGCTACCAGTGCGCTCTGCTGGCGGCAGGAGGCTGCTTCAGCGCTGTGGAGAGGATCCTATCAGGAGAGGTAACACACACACACACACACACACACACACACACACACACACACACACACACACACACACACACACACACACACACACACACACACACACACACACACACACATGTTCAGTCACATACATCACTTTGCTTTAGCTTGAGTACAGAGTACATGTTGTTTGTCGAACTGTACCAAACACCACATCAACATACTACTAAAAAGTTCTTGACGTGTGTTTATGTTAGATTAGATTCGACTTTATTGAACAACGAAATGCAGTTCGCATCCAACAGGAAATACATTATTGCATGTTTGCATAGTCCTCCTTCCTCTGGAAACTCCCGGAGAAAACGGTTTAAAATAGCCAATGTAGAAAATAGATTGAAGTAGAAGAAAAATTGAGGAAACAGAAACTGACAGCAGATTGTTTTTGGAAAGACATTTTGGTGAACTATTATGGTAATATAATACAAAATTAGTTATTGGTTCAGTGCTGAGGTCGCGTTACTGCACATAGAGTATGTGCTGTGCAGCTCAGGGTGAGACATGGTACGCTTTACAGATTTTGTTATGAGCTATCGGGCTGTATAAATAAAATGATTGATTGACATGTTCCTGTTTCCCCTCCAGGTGAGTAACTGCGTGGCGATCGTCCGTCCTCCCGGTCATCACGCAGAGAAAGACTCTCCGTGTGGTTTCTGTTTCTTCAACACGGCAGCGGTCACAGCTCGCCACGCACAGAAAATATCCCATGATGCACAGCTGCGAGTCCTCATCCTGGACTGGGACGTTCATCACGGCAACGGGACGCAGCACATGTTCGAGGACGACGACAGGTGAGCATTAAAGTGATTTAAAGTCGACTTAATCAAATGTGTGTGACTTGTAGTTGAAGTGACGATGGATTTCTCTCTGTCTCAAGCGTCCTGTACGTCTCGCTCCATCGCTATGACAACGGATCGTTCTTCCCGTCCTCATTGGACGCCGCCACGGACAGGGTGGGCGTGTCTAAAGGGGCGGGGTTTAACGTCAACGTGGCGTGGAGCGGCGGGCGGATGGGCGACTCCGACTACCTCGCTGCCTTTCACAGTGTCATCATGCCGATCGCCACCGAGGTAACACACACACACACACACACACACATACATAAACACACAGGAACACACTCTGATTGGTCTACTCTCTCCCCGCAGTTTAACCCCGGTCTGGTTCTGGTGTCGGCCGGGTTCGATGCAGCTCGAGGGGATCCACTAGGGGGGTACAATATGACGCCGGAGGGATACGCCCACCTGACTCACCTGCTGATGTCACTGGCTGGGGGGCGGGTCCTACATATACTGGAGGTACACACACACACACACACACGCACACACACACACTTTCTTATGACATGGATTTGATGATTATGTGAAATAATCCTGTGACGGTCAAATTGACAATTATAATTATATGTATATACTATTTTATTTGCACATGATGTTATATTTATCTTAATTAATAACCATATAATTTAATTTTCCATTAAAGAAAAGTTACAAAATGTTTGTTCATAAAATGTAATCTTACCTACATGATTATTGCAATAGTTTGGATTCACAGCAAAAATATGATGCTATTTTGAACAAGAAATTAATGATAATAACGTATATTTATATTTGGTGGAGGCAGACAAAGGGAATATAGAAAGAAAACGGAAATGATTTGAAGATGCTGGATTATTTAAACAATTGTATTAACATGATAAAAATATTTTGTGTTAAAAAATATTTAAAAACTAAATGTACATGACATTTCTCTTTTTCTCAGGGAGGTTATAACCTGTCATCCATCTCTGACTCCATGGCGATGTGCACAAGCGTGTTGCTAGGAGACCCTCCTCCCTCTTTGGCGACGCCCCTCCCCCCTCCTCATCACAACGCCGTGGCAACGATCAACGAGGTCATCCGACACCACGCCCCCTACTGGAAGTCGCTACGGATACGCAGTCAGTTATTTTGAAATCAATTCAATTTGTTTCTTTTTTGTTTCATTTTATTAACTTTATTACTTTTTTTTCAGTCCCAGAGTCTGTCCGGGTGTCCCTGCCTTCCCTAAAGCATCGTGGGAAACGTATTTTTAAAGGAAAAGGCAAGAAGTCAGAGCAAGGCAGCACAAACAAACCACCTCTGCCCCCTACAGAACCAGAGAAAACAACAGTAAATATGAAAGCACTTTTGTAGATTAAAATTAGAATGAAGAAAATGAAAACAGAATCTAAAATTATGTGTCTCCTTATTGTTGTTTTTCTAGTCCAATCAGGCGGAGTGTGGTCTAGAGCTGCTCACGCAGGGATTGGCCGGTTTGGACATCAGTCAAACTTCAGCCAATCACACTCCTGCTAAATCCACAGAAGTGGGCGGGGCCAGGCCGAAGGTACGGCAAAGCCCGGAGAAGGTGGAGTCATCTGCAGTGACACCTGAGAACAGCCAATCAGCTGACAGTACACAACCTCAGGTGAGCAGGAAGTCAGATCTTTATAGTTTTGAATATAATAATAATAATAATACATTTTATTTATATAGCGCTTTTCCTGGTGCTCAAAGCGCTTAAAATATAGATTATAAATTCCTAATAAATATTTACATATATTAAATATGCATAAACAAGATTTTTTTTTTGATTTATATCAATAAAGTAAAGAATACATGGATACATTTTTTAAATATCACTTTTGGTACATTAAATGGCATTTTAATTTCATTAGCTTTCGGCTGTTTTCATTCTCCATAACCTCTCCGGTCTGTTAGTCTTATAAAAAATCGTATAACTTTTCTCATGTTTTTTACACATTTTTAAAATGGCAGGATGTTGCCGTGGCAGCTCCAGAGTCGGTTGCCCCTGGAGACAAGCCTGCCAGTGAAGAAGGGGCGGGACCGGAGGAGGACGGAGCGTGTGGTTGGTCGAAGCCTCAGACGTCTCTGGAGCTGACGTGTGGAGGACAGGCGGATGTGAGAGAATATTGTTTATGATTCTTTTTTGTATAACCTCATATATATATTTATAACCCCATATTTTAATAGTGGTGCACTGATGCAGTTTTTTGTATTGACTGGGAAGTTAGCTCCTCCCTGGTTCCCTGGGATTTTTGATTTTTGCAGAAAATAAGCTCTGTTGCCAACACTCGTTTATGACCTTTACGTATTTTGTTCAGCAGGATCATCTCCACATATTAACACTACTTTAGGATGTTTTAAGTGTAGATGCAATCACAAGCTAACATTAAGCTATTAGGCTTCTTCATTATGGTCACATGAAGCTAAAGGCGGCTAATGTTCTGCATTATGATGTGTAGTCATCTCATTTAGACACTTGTAAAATAAATAAAAGCTTCAGACATTTACCAGTGACGTATTTAATGTTAAAAAACCTCTTAAACTTGTATTAACCACAGAACTTATTTCAGGCTTCTAAAGAAAAACACCAAAAGCCTAACTCATTTCTGAGTTTTTATGTCTCATTCCTGCACCACTATGTTATCTTGTTCTTTATATCTACCGTCTATCTTCACATTACCAACGTGTCTCTCTCTGCTGTCTGTCTTCAGACCCCTCTCTACGTTGTGGACCCTCTCTCCTGGTGTCCTCACCTGGACGTCGTTAAGCCCCTCCCCCCAGCAGGTATCGACATCTTCCAGTCGTGTAAGGACTGTGGCTCCGAGGCTGAGAACTGGATCTGTCTCACCTGCTACCAGGTGACCTGTCTCACCCCTCCATCACACACTCTGTCTCACCCCTCCATCACACACTCTGTCTCACCCCTCCATCACACACTCTGTCTCACCCCTCCATCACACACTCTGTCTCACCCCTCCATCACACACTCTGTCTCACCCCTCCATCACACACTCTGTCTCACCTCTCCATCACACACTCTGTCTCACCCCTCCATCACACACTCTGTCTCACCCCTCCATCACACACTCTGTCTCACCCCTCATCACACACTCTGTCTCACATGTTGATGAAGTAAGGCGTCTCACCTGCTGTCCTCCTGTCTCAGGTGTTCTGCGGTCGTTATGTTAACGAGCACATGGTGACTCACGGCGTTGTGTCTGAGCACCCGATGGTGCTGAGCTTCTGTGACCTGTCCGTGTGGTGCTACCTGTGTGAGGCCTACGTGCACAACCAGGTGAGGCTTTATTAGTTTTATTGATATTATTATTATTATTATTATTGTATTTCTTTTCAAAACTTTTATTGGGTTTTTTACTAATATAATATATTAATGCTATTATTATTTTATGGCATTTATAATGATATGATTTGTATTTTGTATTTGTTCCATGAGCACAGGCAATAAACATATTGGTTCTGAGGTTAACTTTATTATTTGATATGTTTTAATATTATTCTTAACATTTGAGGTTAAGAGATTTTATATGTATTTTTTATAAAATGTATGAAAATAAAGGATTTGTGTTATTTCTAATTCCCCCTTAGGATGTTTCTATTAAAGATTGTACTTACATGTCTTGTTTTATTGTTTTTAAAGTTGAAATACCTTTATTTGGGAGCTATTCCAAGATATATTAAACTTCACAGCAAATACAGCACTAATATAAAGTACTTTATTATTATTATTATTATTATTATATTTATCATTATTGTTATATTAATAATAACACATATTTTACCTAAATAAACGCTTACACTTTTTGTTCCTTTAGATTCTGTATGAAGCTAAGAACTCAGCCCACTGCGCCAAATTTGGAGAGGAGATTCCTCCATGGAGCTGAGAGGAAGACGAGGAGGTGAAGGAGAATGGGAGGACATGATGAAGAGGAGATTTAGGTGAAGAGGAGGAGATGAAGATAAGGATACAGGTGTAAAAATCTGAATGTTGTTCCTGTTTTTCTGTCCCTCTTCTCTCAGTGTGATTGGACCTCAAATACAGTGTGTCAAAGCTGCCAAAAACAAACACATGCAGAAGTGACGTTTTATATTTTTTAACTGCAGCTCATTATCATCATCAGCACAAACTTTATCGAACAAAAAAGAGACAGCAGAGGAAGAAGAGTGGTGGCGATGTCAGAAAGAGGCCACGCCCACAAACAGTGACTCAATAACGTGAAATCTGCAGTTTTATTTTTGTTAGACTTTTTGCATGTATTTGGTTTTCTTTCATAACACACTTGGAAGATGTTAGTTTTGATTAATTACTTCCAAACTCCCATTACTTCCTGCAATATATCTGCCTTCAAAAGATGCCACAAATGGCCGATAACGATCGATGTCTAGCTCACTTTACTTTTTTAATAATTTATTACTTTGTATAATGTCAGAAAATACCTAAATCAAGTTGGTTTGTTTTGCAAACAGGTTGCCATGTTTTCTTGTTCAAAATAAGGAAAACAACTTTAAAAGAGATTAGGTAAAAAGATCATGTTCTGGGAAGAGAAACAGACAGAAATAAAGAATAAAAAAGGCATGATTATTTCAACGTATAATCTGCACTTTTTAATTTAATTGTTTTACTGTTTCTGTATATCACGCAGTCTGACGGTATTGGAGCATTACCTCACTTCAGAAGTGTTTGATTTTCACACCTGTTAAATATATTTTATTGTTGGAAACAAAGTTATGCATCTTTAAACTTAGCATTTTGCGTAGCTGCACACTCTACTGTTTTGTATTAAGGTTTCCGCTTTAGTTTGACAAGTTTGAACATTTGGTGTTTCTGTCGGTTAATTAAACTTCTGTGTTTGAATATGTTTTCTCTTTAAAGCTGAGCAAATGTGAACAAACCAGTTTGCATCGCAGGAGCGTTGAGTGTGTGCAATATTACATTTTTTTGAGCATCCTGTTTGTTTTGTTTCTATTAAAATGTTTGTATATTTATTTTCCTGCATTGGTCACTTATTATTAATGCTGGACAGATTGTTATGATACAGTTTCATAAACAGGTACATGTCTCTCTGCTTTTAAGGAAAATAAACTTTTAAACAAACAAAAAAAAAGTATACTTTATATTTTCGAATATATATATTAATTACTGAACCTGGAAAGTTTTATTTTGATGTTGATTTCTGCTGAAAGAACTTCATATTTAATAACTGATTCAAACATTTTCGGTAGATACAAGTACACATTATTTTATTATATTAAAACGTAAAACAGCTTATATTTCACCATGCTACCGTCTAGGGCAGGGCTTCTCAAACTGCGGACCTAGGTCCGGACCGAACCACAAATCAATCCGGACCGAACCCTGTGTCCCATTATTAAAAATAAATAAATAAATCTGATTCTGATGTAAATTAAAGTGGACCTATTATACTATGTTGGAAAAAATATATTGTAGGGCCATACATACAAAACATGTCTGAAGTTTTTTGCTTAAAATACCAAACAGTTCATCCATTGTAGCCATGCCTCATACTGCTCATACCCCTCTTTTGCAGCCCTGTTAGAGAAACGCGGATTTTGGGTCCTTAGCTTAAACAGAGGAGGCGGAACTAATGCCTGATCAGAATTCTACCGGAGATAAAGTTAAATTCTGCTGTGATAAAACCTCATCTTGTTCTAAACCACATCAAGGATTATTTCTGAAACAGTATGGAGCTCAAATGCTTTTTCTCTTGTGGTTTTATCAGAAGGTGAGTTCCTTTTTTTATTTCCTGCTTTTTAAACACATGTGCTCTCCAGTAAAGGTTAGCTCTGAGTGTTAGCGAGGCTTGTTAATGTAAACAAAGACAAGATAACGTCCAAAACACGTCAGGCATTGTTTCTGATAGCAATATTCTGTGGGTCCGCTTCCGATTTGCCGTCAGATCCGCAGCAAATCTGTATCCGCTCGTTGTACCCCTGTTTTTTAAAAGATTTGGGTACGGAGGAAAAGAGAGGGTTTTATTTTCTGACGCACCGGGGACACATATTTATGTATAAAAGACATCACAAAGTGCATTTTGCATGATAGGTCCCCTTTAATGTATATTTTCTTGTGTCTGACGCGTTGTGAGAATTAACGTGCATATATATTTACTTGTGTGCGCGAGCGTGACACGCATTGCAGACCGCAAGTTAACCGCAAGTTTACCTTGACTTTCTAATGCCATAGTTCAAGCCATCATACTGTATGTATGTATTGAATGTGTGTGTGTGTATACAGGGGCGCCGTTTACCGACAGGCAAGTGCTTGGACCAGAAGGGGGCCCCCAAATAAAGTAGATTAATCCAATCCAATCCAACTTTATTTATATAGCACTTTAAAACCTCCAGACCAAAGTGCTGTACAGAGAGATACATAAAATATAAAATCACACAGCTCAGCTCACAAAACAAACGGTGGGGGACTTTACTGGCATTAATCCGGACCATTGACCTTGTATAAAATTCACAAGTGGACCTTTAACAAAAAAGTTTGAGTACCCCTGGTCTAGGGGCTTTTATTCTGAAACTAGCGTTGTATGGGCTACTGTGATAATATTTGTGAAAATTGTAATCATAAAGTGACGATGATGAAGGCACCGTGAAAAGCATTAACTCTTTTATTTTGAAGATCATCTTTATGAAAATAGTTAAAAAACGTATTTTTAAGGAAATGTATTTGCCAATAAAAGGTAAAGAAATCCAAATAAACAAAGTCAGATACATTTTTACAAATATTGTGAAATTTGTATCATATAGTGAAAATCAGAAAGGCACTGACAGCGCTAACACATACAGTGTGTCACAAAGAAATTACATAAAAATATGTAATTGACAAAAGCTATGATATAATAATAAAATTAATAAACAGTATTATTGCATTTTGTATAAGGCAGATAATCCTGCCCTCAAACAAAAAGGAAGAAGTCTATAAAGGAAGATGTGGTATTGCCTCCTTTTATTATATTTTTTTATCACCACTTTTTTGGATCCCCTCATTTTCATTTCTTCCCCCACTCGTGTCCCGTTAGCAGCCAGACGACAGTGAAAACGCTCCCGGTGTCATTACCGGATCAATTATGGTTTTTCAGCAGTGAGCCTTCAGTGGATTGTTTTCCATCACATTGCTGAATTATAATAACTCACAGGGAGCCGTTCAGGTCAACAGCGCTGAGTCTGCAGACTCCCCAAATTAATTCATTCAGTCATTCTGCCTTTATTGATCACGAGGGAAATTTGGGTTGCGCTTCACACACTGAAAACACACAGCAGCTAATTACACAGCATACAGAAAAATCATATAAGTAAACGTCGGTGGATAAGAGCAGACAGGGAGTGTGCAGAGCAGTTAAAAATCTGAATATAAATGAGATACAGAGACACGAGAAGCGCGCGGCATCATTTTAATGTGCAAATGGGGTAATTGCAGTGGGTATAAACGACTCCCGGCTTCTTTTACTCAACAACATTCATGTTTTCAGTCTGCACGAATAAAATGTCATTTATTTCCTTCTTTTGAGTTTTACATCTAGGGTGTTTAGAGGACAGTGGCAAAATATACCTAAGCACCTTAACTTACGTACGAATTGTACATGAGTATTTTCCTATTTTATGCATCAGTTTTTCATCACCTTCATTAACGTTTTTCTTTATAGTTAATTATTAATGTATTAGATATGTGTTAAAGTAGCCTATAACTCAAATATGCAGCAGATTGTAAGTTGGCCTCCAGAGTTTCACTTTGTCACAAGGTATGTTACACCACCATTATGAGCTCTCTTTATGTTAATTAATGTAAGAAAAAACGTAGGGATTTACAAATAGGTAAAATATCTTATAAAACATTCCTGAACAAATATGTAAAATGATGTACAATTTGTTGATATTTTATCTGTTAAAATGTATGTTGGTTTTGTTGTGTTAAAATCCAAAATATTTCAAAAATGTTGCTAGCTTTTCAGTTAGCATCACAAAGCTAGCTGTTTGGAGCTAGCATTACGAAGCTAGCTTTTTGTAGCTAGCATAACAAAGCTATCTGATTGTAGCTTGCGTGATAAAACCCCAAGCTCCAATTATGCAATGCCACTAAACTGTCTTTATTTATTTTCTGATTGAAAGTCAGTTAGATAATGATATATGTGTTTAAAGTAAAAAAATATTGTTATGTTGAGTGTAGCATAGGCTTCTTGAGAAAAGTTGATAATTCACAACCAAATATACTAACCTGATGTGATATGAAGACAGAACAAGAAACACAACACATTGAATTTAATGTCTTAGGTCCATTCAATATTTTCATGGTGTTATCCTTTCTTGTTGTAAAATCCTTCCTGTTGTTCTGTCACAAAAATGGCAGTTATTAGTGCTGTTTCAGCCTCTCGAATATTAATATAACCAGTTTTTTCTGTTATATTTGTGTTTTTAACTGACCAAGTAAGACATTTATACACTGGGATGGATACCATTTTTTTGAATAGATGGTACAAAACTTTTAATTGATAATGAGAATAATCATTAATTGCCGCACTTTGTAACTCTAATTGTCTCATAAGAATTTAAATGTATAATTTTTACTTTCAGGACTGTGTAAAGATGACAGAAAGATCAACAACAGGACACAAGAACAACAACAAGATGGCGCGAAAACAACAGCAGCAGAGCTCTAATGTTGCCCCGCAGCTCTGAACAAAGCCCTAAAAGTTCCCCCACAGTGTGATTATCTGCTCATCACGCACAGAGGAAAAGTGTTGTCGTGAACAAGAGGTATCTCTTCTATTCATTTTATTTCTATGGTGACAGTTTATAACGCCGGCAGGTTGGCCTCCATGACCGAGTCCCAGTAGGATCTCATCCTGCTGCTGCTCATCTGACAGCTGGAGAGAAGAGACGAGGAAAATCAGTTTATACAGCCCCACTGTGAAACACTGCTGATGGCTTAACACACATTCACACACACACACACACACACACACAGGCGGATGAAAAAGATACAAGTACACAATGTTGAAGCCCATGGCGTGCAGTCTAAAGGGGACCCATAACCTTGAATGAGGGGAATAGAAAGTGTACGTGTGTGCGAATAAGTGTGCAGGTGTGTGTGTGTGTGTGTGTGTGTGTGTGTGTGTGTGTGTGTGTGTGTGTGTGTGTGTGTGTGTGGTAATGAGAGAGTGGGTGGGTGTGCAGAAAAAGGAAGTGGCGAGGAACAGATAGACGTAAAGGCAACACGACAGAAAGCAACAGATGAGAGAAAAGGAAGAAGACACAATACTCAAACAAAGAGAAGAAGAAGAAGAAGAAGAAGAAGGGGAGGGAGACAAACAACAAAAAGGTGAGAGAAAGGGGGGGTTAAAGAAACTCGTTCACCATAAAGATAACTTTGAACGGCGAGGTAAATATATAGTGTTTGTGAGGTAAATACTTTTGATAATTTTTTGTAAAGAATATCATCACCACTTTATCGGTGTGGAAACAATGTTGTTTTATAATTGTATATGATAAGTATTAGGTATTAGAAGTAGACATAAGTTACTACATATTGAATTGATAACTTGATGTACATGCAAGGTATGAATGAAAAACCTTCCCAGTACTTCTACTTCTACAAAGACATATTTGTTCTTAGGAAATATGTACATTTTTTCTATATAACTGAGCAACAGTCATTTTATTTACCGTGTAAAGTACCTTAAACTAAAGTACATGGGTCTGAAGATAATAGTACAATTATACATTTGGAGTTATAACAGAATGTTTTTTACATAAAGCAACATCACAATATCGTTATTATTTTATCCCCCACATTCTCTGTCAAATCCAATAGGGGGCGACAAAAGTTTGTTTGTGTAGAAGTCCACCATAAAATGACCCTTCTTCTCTCAGGATTTATTGTCACAGTAAATATTTGATGGTCTCGATCGTTACTTTCAAGTCTTCTTCGATGCAGCAGGATGTTAGTTTGAGCAATTTTGGCA